CAACGGGGCAGAGAGAGAGAGAGAGAGAGAGAGAGAGAGAGAGAGAGACTAGGAAAATACTGTAGCAAGCTCAGTACCAGAGGCGGCTTCTTCCTCCCAAAACCCAGGAATGGAAAGGCCCAGGCCAGAGGCTGGGCAGAGGGGAGAGAAGGAGGGGAAACACACAGCTAGAGGAAGGAGAAGCCCAGGGAAAGAGGGAGGGGAGGGAGAGGGACACAGAGAAGAACACGGGACAGAGCAGAAGGGACAGGGTGGGAGGAGAGGCGGGAGGGAGAGTTGTGGATGGAGAAGTAAAGAGAGAGTGGATCAGGAAAAACAGTTTAAATAAAACCAGGGAGATTAAATTAACTGATACATACATTCCAAGAGGTAGGTCGCAGGAGCGGCCATAAATACCAGCTCCCTATCTCCCCTGCTCAAGACAGCGGGGAGAGCAAAATAAAATTAAAAGATACAACAATAAAAATTACAAATGCATCTGGAGGGTCCTGTACTTGACATCTGCAATGGAGGCTCAAAGCTGCCGAGCAAGCCTGGGGCTTGGCCCTCACTCCTGCCAGGAGCCACACGGGGACCATCTTATCTGCGGTTTGGCGGGTCATTCTGTGTCCCATGTTCCACCCAACATACATGCCTTCTACATACACGAAGGGCTCCAGGGGTGGAGAGCACTACCATAAGAACCAATTTGGCACTTTATAATTTATAAGGTTTTTCCTAGTCATCACCAACCCTTCAAGGAACTGGTTTTACTTCGTGCTGATTTGTTTTTTTCAGCACTGGAAATTGAGCCCAGGGCCTTTGCACAGAGCTCTAGCCCTGACCTTTGAAATTTGGAGAGAGCTAGGCATGGTGGCAACATGCCTGTAATCCCAGCACTCAGGAGGCTGAGGCAGGGGGATCGTTGGGAGTTTGAGACCAGCCTGGGCTACAAAGTAAGCTCAAGGCCAGCCTGAACTGCATAGACAGACCCTGTCTCAAAAAAGACCAAAAAGAAAGAAAGAGAGAAAGAAATTTGAAGAGAGTTCTGCTAAGTCACTAAGTTATTCAGGGGGCTTGAAATTGTGATCTTCCTGCCTCAGCCTCCCAGAGTACTGTGATTATAGGCATGAGATACCATGCCCAGTTTATGTCCCCAGGTTTATAGGTGAGGTAATTGAGATTTTAAAAGGCTATGATTTGGCTCAAGATGACACTCTAGCAAACAGGTAGAGCAAAGATTCAAACTCAGGTCTTTCTATTACTACCTTCAAGGAATGTGTTCCTGTCAGCTCACCTGAGACACAGAACATATGTTCTGAGCACATATGTGTCATATCATCGCCACACGAATGTGGCCAGCATGACAGGTTGAGCTAGCCAAGACAGCCTTCTGTAAGCAGGAGCATCCAAATCCAGACTCCAAAGACCTTTGTTAGCACCAAAAGGTTTCTTGACACACTGCCAGCCACAAGCATTCACACACACTAGTGGTTGTGTCTCTGACGTCTGTAGATTGAGGAAATGCCCAACCACCCAAAGCTACAATAAACCCAAAAACATTTTTAAAGGAATTTCAATTGGGAGAGGGGATTGAGACAGGATCTTGCTATATAACCCAGCCTGGCTTCAAATTTACAGCTTCCTGGGAGCTGAGATTAAGGAATTGTAATTTTATTTATCACTATGGTGGGGAGGGCATAAAAACACAAACAAGAGTCTCTGTTGCTCTCCAAGCACAGTGGGCAATATGGGGCTCAGAAGACCCTCTTGCAAGAAAGCCAGGGCCCCTCTCACCAGCGTCCACAGCCCAAGGGCCCTAGAACTTCTGATGGAGGCTGGCCCTGTGAGTTACAGGGTGGGCATGATTGGACTACAGAGATTTTCTGGGAAGTGCATCCTGACGAGCTCTGGGAAGCGAGGTGGCCAGGCAGCACCTAGGGCCTGGGGACAAGAGGAGAGAGCAGGCTGGCCTCACTGCTACCAGTGGCCTCAGTTTACACTTTTTTTTTTTTTTTTTTTTTTGGCACCGGGAATCAAACTGAGGACCTTGCACTTGCCAGGCAGGCACTGTGCCACTGAGCTACATCCCCGGCCCCAGTTCGCACTTTTGCTGTGATAGCCAAGCAGGGTTTGTTGCTGGCCACAGGGAGACTCCAGTAGGACTAAAAGCAGGTGTTTCCACTACAAGTTTAAGCTGGACTCACGCTGGGTCCCCTGCCTAGAATGCACCACTCACTCTCCAGAGGGCCAGGAAAGCCCAGGGAACTCCTACTGCAGCCCTACTCCGTGCCCAAGCTGCAGCAGGAACGCAATGGGCCCAGACAGCTTGCGTTCATGACCTTGTTGAATAGGCATCATTTTCCAATCCTGGAAGTGACTTTGTGAGCAGCACAATTACATGCATTGTCTTTTGTGAGTCAAAAGTGTTAACCTGTGGAATGTCAATCAGATGACACTTTTGCAACACTGCTTGGCATTTTTCTTTTTTCTTCTTCTTTTGAGATGCAATTTGGCTATTATAATGCCCAGCCTCGCCTCCAACTCCTGGCATCAAGTAATCATCCTGCCTCAGCCTCCCAAGTAGCTGGAACTACAGGTGCATGTCACCTCTCTATTCCATTTCCTTATTTTTAAAAGTATTAAAACCTCAGAAATAAAAGAGGTGCACTGTAGTTGGCTGAGGTAGCAGAATCACAAGTTTAAGCCCAGTCTGGACAACTTAGTGAGACCCTGTCTCAAAATAAAAAATAAAAAGGACTGGGGATGTAGCTCAGTGCAAAGGCCCTGGAGTCAATCCCTAGGAGGAGGGGGGTACCCTCTGAGCAGAACAGAGGCTAGCACTAGATTTAAAAGTCATCCATCAAAAAAAATAAATAAATAAATAAAAAATAAAAGTCATCCATCAAATAGTAACTGTACCCTCCTGGACGCCAGTGGTCATGAGGGGACAGAGGTTCTGAGGGAAGGGCACTGGCACCCACCATCCTCTTCCACCCACCCACAGCTGACTCTCCTGCTCTTCTGCCTCCCCACCCTCTCCCTCAACCAAGATCTCAGCTCTGGAAGTGAAAGTCCCTGCTCTGATTGGCTTATCCTCTGGACTATTTGACTTCCTACCCACCTCTGGGGAGAAAGTCACAAAAGCATTTGCAAATAATACACTTATCTTTGCCTGCATAGACGCTGTCACTGCGAAGTGCAGAAGTTGGGGTCTCTACCCAGCACTGCCACTGACTGTGCCAACCGTTTCATCTCTTTGTGCCCCTGTGGTCCCATCTGTAAAATGGAGATAAATCCTAGCAGCCACACTAGCAGGGCTGTTGTGAAGACTAAAGGGTACGTGGGTGCAGTACAGAGGTTAACCTGTGATCACCTCTCCTCTGAGCCTCACTAGCAGGACCCACATTTTGAGAACAGGAGGGAAACGGAAAGCAAAGCTAAAGAGTAGGAAGCTGGTGCAGGAAGTCAGCAGACAATGGCAGAAAGGCCTGAACTGGGGACCAAGAGAGGCAGACCTGTGTCTCTCTGAGCCTGCATTTCTCCATCGGTAAAGTGAGGATGTTGGACCGGGAAATCCAGAGGTATCTCTGATTCGAGGAATTGGTGTTAGAAAGAACGAAGGGAAGGCAGGGAGGGACCAGGACAAGCCAAGATCAGACTGTCTATGGCCAGAAGGGGGTGACCCTGGACCAGCCTCCACTGGGAAACAGCCTGCAATCTCTCCAGCAGGACCCCCTGAAATTCCATGTCCCAGATGAGGACACCAAGCCAAGATCACCCGGAGAGCGAGTACCAACCAGCAGCAGCAGCACCCAGTGCGTGCCTGGCGGGGTCCGAGTTGGGCTGGGTGCCCCCCCACCTCAATACCGGAGAATCTGTTACCTCCTCCCGTCGTTAGCTCCACCCTCAGCTGAATTTAATGAATCTGAGAAAAATTATGAAGTCCCATAAAGCCACAAGTATCATAAAAAGTATAATAAAATTGAGAAAAGCTATTAAGTTATAAATACAACCAATGCGCGCAACATCACTCAGTCGGGGAGGAAGTCGCTATAAAATAAAGTCATTCCACAAGTGACTAAATCTCTTAATCACAGGCCACAAGCTCCCCTCGTCAGGCGGCCAACCCCACCGTCTGCGCCAGGAGTTTGGGTAACGCGAACTTCCCAGTGGCCGGCCGAGAGCCACGTGGTGGGAGACAAAGGGACAAAGATCGCAGACAGACAGAAAACAGGTGGCGAGGAAGCTGGGGAGAGGGGGTGCACTGCGGAGCGCTGCGGCGGGGAGGAGGCGGTCCGCATTGGCTGCCACATCCCGCCCCAGACGCTTTGCAGAGCAACCGAGGCTAAGGAGAGCAAAGGAGAAAGGAACAGCCCCGGAAGGAAGTCTGCAGCCGGTGTTGGGTGCGTGCGATCCGGGGAAGGCAGGACGCGGGCAAGGGTAGCGATCCGAACCGCCTTCCCCGCTGGACCCGGGCTCGGAGGCCTTAGCGTCTTGCCGAACCCAGTCGGTCTTGTCCCGCCCCCCTCATGAATATTCATCGCTGTTATTAGCGCGCAACCGCGCCCATTATGGTTATTGTGCGCCCAATAAAAACAAACATGCTAATGAGCAGCTTTCAAGCGGGCGGTGGCGGCGCTCGGAGCGCTTCCCTGCCGCCCGGTGCCGGAGGGCAGGAGAGGGGCCTTCCCGGGACCCCGCGAGAGGAGGCGGAGCGGTGTCATCGGGCACACCGGGCACACCCGGGGACCTAGGGCCTGCAGAGCCGGACGCTGCGGAGAGGGCCTGGTGCTCCCGCTCTCGGGCTCCGGGAACTCCGGGGAGTGGGGTTCCCGCACTGCCCCACGCAGGCTGCGGCGTGGTCTGCACGGTCAGGCCTGCCCGGCCCGTGGGACCCGCTGTCTGCAGAGGAGCTCGCCCTGCAGACTGCTGCGCCGAGCCCAGGGCCAGGCGCCCGAGCTGGCTCGGCCGCGGGAGGGACTTCAAGTTGACCAGCAGCGAGCGTTTCGCTTCAGTTTCCAAAATGGGGCGGAGAGAGGGGAGGGAGCAGTGAGGGCGGAGTGAAAGGTCCGCTCTAGGCTCTCCTGAAGGTCTGGTGTGTCGCACCCACTTTACCAGCTGAAAAAGGGAGGCACCCAGAGGTTGAGGAACTGTGGCAAGTCTTGCGCCAGGAGGCGGGTTAGAACCAGGCGTGTGGCCAAAGCCACTGGACCTAAGGCCTGCTGGCTTTGTCTGGGGCGGTTCAAAGGGTGGATTCCCATAGTCTGGGCCCAGGAGCGGGCTCTCACAATGTTTTCGCTAAATGGCTGCGGTGGGGGAGTGACCGGAAGCCACCCAGACTCAGTCCTCCTGTGTTAGAGGCGCGCACTGTCCTGCATCGAACACACGTGTGCGACAGGGTAGGGACTTGATGTGGGAAGATGGGAGAAGGAGGGGAAGATGCAGAAAGAAATGGGGAAGGCCCTACAGCAGTGGTTCTCAAATTTAGTATGATGGGATTGAAAAGTGGATTTAGAGCTGGGTGTGGCGGCACACACCTGTAACCCCAGCACTCCGGAGGCTGAGACAGGAGGACCCCCAGGAGTTCGAGACTAGCCTAGGGTTGCAACGTAAGCGAGTTCAAGGTAAGCCTGCACTACATAGTAAGACCCTGTCTCAAAAAAAAAAAAAAAAAAAAAAAAAAATTTAGTTTTGTTCCAAGACTGGTACAAAATTTTTCATAGCAGCATATTCATAATAACAAAAAGGGTGGACAGGGGCTGGGGATTTAGCTCAGCGGCACAGTGCCTGCTTGGCAAGCACAAGGTCGAGTTTGGCTCCCGGTACCGGAAAAAAAAACAAAAAGTGGACAACCCAGATGTCCATCAGAGCAATTTAGCAATTTAGTGAGACTCTGTCTCCAAATTAAAAAAAAAAAAAAAAAATTAAAGACTGGGGGTGTAGCTCCCTGTGAAGGTCCCAGGTTTGATCCCTGTTCCAAAATATGTCCATCAAGTGGTGAATGTAGAAACACAATGTGGCAGATTAGGTTAAGGGAATACTGTCCAGCTATACAAAGAACCCAACTACAGTTACATCATTACAACATGGATGAGCCTGGAAAATAAAGCAGTCACAAAGAACACATATTATTTGCCCAGAATAGGCAAATCTCTACAGACAGAAAGTAGATCAGTGATTACCTAGGACTGGAGAGATGAGGGAATTTAGAGATAACAGCCAAGGGGTACAGAGTTTCCCTGTGGGGTAATGAAATTGTTCTAAAATTGAGTGTGATGATGTTTGCACAGCTGAATATACCAAAAGCCACTGGCTTGCACAATTTAACTGGGTGAATACTATGGCATGTGAATTATATCTCACTAAAGCTGTTAACAAAATGAAACAAACATTAGGCTCAGTTAAAGAAGCCAGACTCAAAAGATCATCCAGAAAAGGCAAATCTATGGAGACAGAAAGTAGATTCACGGTTGATTGCCTACAACTAGGGGCGTGGAGAGGGAATTAACTATAAACAGTCACCATGGATCTTACTGCAGTGATAGAAATGTTCTGTAACCAAACTGTGATGGTGATTGCACAACTCCATACACTTATAAAAATATTATTGGGTATTTATATGCTTTAAGTGGTTGAATCATTTTATTTATTTATTTAGAGACAGTGTCTTACTATGTGATCCAGCCTAGCTTTAAGGCTACCTTAACTCCAGATCCTCCTGCCTCAGCCTCCTGAATGCTGGGATTACAGACATGTACCACCATGCCCAGTTTCAACAGATGAATTTTATAGTATGTAAATAATACTTTTAAATTTTTTTAAAGCACCGATTGGTAGATCCTACCCACTGCCATCACCCTCTTCTCCAAGTTTTTGATTCCATGGGTCTGGGCAGCTGGAGAACTTTTGAATTTCTAACAAGATCTCTGCTGATTCTGATACTGTTGGCAGAGGGACCACACTTGGAGACCTGCTGGTCTGTAGAGGTGAAAGGCCCATGCCAAGAAGGGGGGCGGAACCTGTTAAAATAAAACCCTTCGGGCAGCAGCTCTCCAGCCCCTCCCTCCTCCAGAGAGACCCTGGCGGTAACAGGGTGAGGGGCTGTCACAGCGGCGGGAGCTGCCTGCTCTCAGCTCTAGCGAACATTCCTCTGCGACAGACAGCAGCAGAGTTAATTTCAAGGCAGCCTCTCCACCATCAGCCGAAATTGGCAGCGTAAATAGGAACCGCTGTTTATTTGCCACTTACCTCTGTCTTGTTCCGCTTAAATACTGAGGGGAAACCGAAGCCATTAGGGTCAGGAGAAAATTACAAACACGCAGCGTCACTGTGGGTGGGTGAAAATGATATTACAGCTGGGGGGGGGGCTGCAAAAAAAGTAAATAGAGGAAAGAAGGAGGGAGCGTGGGGAGAAGGGGAAAAATGCTTGCACCAGCGGAGCATGAAATAAAATAAAATTAAATAAAGATCTGTTTGGTGGGTGGGGAATCTTGGTCCTAGGAAATAGGGGTGGCGATGGGGGAGGGGAGAATTCTGGAATTGTTTTTAAAGCTAAAGCAGGGGAAGTAAATTCTGCTATTTTCTGGCCTGATGCGTGGTTGGGACTGTTTCTCTTTCTGTCACCAGGAAACTGGCCCAGCTAGGGGACAAAAGCCCAAAGCCACCATCAACGGGGGCGGGGGGCTCCTCCCCAGCACCCTTCCTCCCGGCGCTTCGCACACCTTCCCTACCGGCCCCCAGCCCAGCAGACTTCACTGGAGGCGAGCGGAGCGCGTTTTATTGCCTTCCGTCCTGCTCCATACTAAATCTTGTGGCGATGCTTCTAAAAGTCAATAAAACGAGAAGGAACCTGCGATAAAATTAAGGTGGGAAGTGTGATGGGGAGAGGAAATGGGAATCTTCTTTTTAATTTAGCTTTAATTTTAATTTTTTGTCACCTCTCGGAGCAGCCTGCGAGCTGCGGCGGCGGTAGAGGCGGCGCGGGGGAGGGGCTGGCGCGGCCCTTGAAAGACTGGGGGTGGGGGCTGGCCTGGGCTGGGGCAGCCACGGGGGGAACAGGCCTGACAAAAGGCTGCTCACCCAGAGGGAAGCTTCCCTTTGTGCTCCAGAGCCCACTGCCCTGCGCTAAGGCTAAGGCCTCGGGCAGCTGATGTGGCCTCCCTGAAAGAAGGAACTGTGACTCAGTGTCCTCTTTGTCCACAGACTGGAGTCACAGCCCTAAGGGCAGCACTGACCCCGCTCACTGATGATCACTGAGCACTCACTGTGTTCCAGGAATCCTTGGAAGCGCTCTGCGTTTACTTTCATGTCAGCCCTCCCATCCGTGTCGGGAGATAGGCACCGCTATCACAGCCCCAGCCTGCAGATGGGAAGCATTACTGCTTTGCCTTAATCCTGACAGCAGCCGGGTGTCCCAGCCGAGTGAGGCTAGCAGGGCCCTCCCTGGCCTTTCGGAGGAGTTCAGAACTGGGAGCTCTGAGGGCTCTTGGGTGATCAGTAGGAAAGCCAGGTCTCTTGGGTTTGCTGTCTCTTCTCACGTGATGGGAAGCCCCTGGTCAGTGCTTTTCTGCTTCCTACGTGGGCTTCTATCTCAGGCCCCCTGGAGGGAGGGGAGAGGTAGGCGCTGTGTCACCTACATGCAGATGGGGAAAGAAGCTCAGAGTGGCGGGAGATGTCTCCGGGACCACGCAGGAACACTGGCTTTGGGTCCTAGTTGCACCTAGGAAAGGATCTGGCTGCTGTCTACCCTCAACTTGGTGGCGGGGGGCCGGGGGGTTACACTCAGAAGATGCTGGTAGCCATTAAGCTCAGGCTCCGACATAGGCATGCCCCTTCTTTGCCCCGCTTCCTGGTCCACAGGGGTCCACTGAGCTACCCTGTCTGGCATCACCTTCCCGAAGGCCCCCAGCTTCTACAGCTGAAGAAGATGGGAATCGATGGACTTGTCTAACAGACTCCCTGCTGCCCCAAATAATGTCACCCTCATTAAAAATCAGATTCTCAAAGCCAACTCAATGCCAAGGTGAAGGGCACATGAAGTATTTATAAGTTAAAAATAAAGCAAGTTACCAGATACTGTGCCGAATGTAATACTAATTATGTTTTCTTCTAAATACGGTTCATGGCCGTTATTTATATATGCACAGAAGAAAGGACTAGAAGGATACACATGGGAAGTGTTTACCTCCTCATAGTTCTGTCTCTTTTGCAATGCTGGGGTCAAACGCAAGACTCCATATGTGCTAAGCAAGCACCCTACCACTGAGCTGCCCCGCAGCTCAAAACTCTGCCTTTTTAAAAAGAAAAGGAAAAAAAGAAAAAATTCTGCCTTACTAGGTTTTGTTTTAAAAAATGCTAGTCCTCCTCTAGCTTGCTGATTTCGCAGTCTCCTAAGCACAGCCAAGAACAACAGTTCACGTGTGAGTGTGCATGTGTGTGCGTGTGTGTGTGTGTGTGTGTGCGCGTGTGTTGGGGCTCCCAACTCCCCCACCCTCTCCCAGTGACTGCTGTTCATCATAACCAGGACAATTAACCATCCCCTTATTATTCACACGTCATGACTACTAATCACCCTTATTAATATCCATGCTTTGCAAAACCAGGAGGCAGCTTGCCTCAGACACTTGGAACTCCACAGGAATCCAGCCCCGACCCAGGCGCGCCCCTTTCTGCTTTGTGCTGTCACCTCCCCCTGCAGCAGGAGAGTCTGCCTCTTCCTCGTCCCTCCACAGTGACCACTGCCCACTCTTCCCCTCCTCTGCCAGTTCATTAGAGCCTCACACCCCTGGAGATCCATCTACGTCCCCAGTGCCACCTGAACCACACACTCCCCTTCCCTGGAACTGAAACAAAGGTCTCTTCCTGTGGCCAGCTCCTTTTCTCAAATTACCCGCTTGTTCACAAAGGGGCTGCTTTACCTCAGAGAGACACAGCTAAAGGCTGAACTTCGCGGCTACACCACTCAACCACATTCAGTCTCTAAACGTGTTACTTGTTTTGGAAAATGCATCAGCAGCTCTACGTTAAGCCAGCTACAGCTAATAATAACATTGGCTGTTTGGCTAATGTTAAATTCCCTGGCTAATGTTTGACACAGATTTATACTGTGGTTCTTTTCAGCCCTCAGTTTTGTGGTGGCCACAGTAGCCCTGGGAAATGCTGAAATGAGCTATGCTATGTGCCGGGGAAGTGAATCCAGACTTCACCACATGTGCATGCACAGAATTTATAGTGCATCGATGTGCCAGCCCCCAGGGGGTCACTGTAACCTCTTCTGGCCAGAGGGGAATCCAGACTAACCACAAGAGGTGGTTGCCAACCATCTCTGTACCGGTCAAGATAACAGGTACTGACCACGACCCACCCCGCTGAGATGACAGCCGTGATTTCTACTCCTGAGCCCGATCATGGAACTCACCAGGCATGAAGAAGATGAAAGTAATTTGAACAACATACTTGAGGCAGTTGCATTTATTATAGCAAGAAATTAGATACCTTTCACATGCCCAACAATGAGGGAGTGACCAAGCAAAATGATGATCTATCAGTGTGACAGAATGCCACGCGGTCATGAAATGACAAGATAGTGCACTCTGCCGCCCTGAACGTGCCTGTGTGCGTCCAGCAGAGCTGAGAGCGGGGAAACTCAAAGGAAGACTAGGCACATCTGAGACACATGGCTCAAGGAAGGAGCTGGGGTCTTACCTGGGCTTAGCTCTTAATGAGCCTATTTGTAAAAGGAAATCAACACCCCTGTTCCCAGTGGTACAGGGGAGTAAGCTAGGTCATGAATGTAAAGGCCAGGATGCTGTGTTCAGGCCCTTTCAGGTACCTGGCAACTAAAACACCCATATGAATGCTTAGAAATCAAAGCTCTATAGCTGGGCGTGGTGGAACCTATAATCCCAGCACTCGGGAGGCTGAGGCAGGAGGATCATTGTGAGTTTGAGACCAGCCTGGGCTACAAAGTGAGCTCAAGGCCAGCCTGAACTGCATACTGAGACCCTGTCTCCAAAAGACAAAAAAAAAAGAAAGAAAGAAAGAAAGAAAGAAAGAAAGAAATCAAAGTTCTTTGGATCCATTTTAAAGTTAGTCCATGTAAAGAAAACAGGAAGAAAATATGAATATTTTTTAACACAAAAGAAGGAGGAAGGGGGCAAAGGAGGAAAGGAAAGAGACAGGGAGGGAGGGAATAAAAAGGAGGAGGAGACAGGGAGAAAGGAAGGAGTATAGAAGAGGGTCTACAGTGTGTTCACATTTGTGTATGTTTTGAAGAGAGGGAAAAAGAGAGAGAGAGAGTGTGTGTGAATTATACATATTTGGGGATGGATATTGTGGTAGTTGGCTAAGGGCTCCGCACATATGTCCGTGTACTAGATTATGTTGTGTTACATGATAAACGAAAATTAAGGTTCCAAAAGGAATAAAAGTTGTTAATCAGCTGCACATAAAATGGGAGATTATGCTGGGTTATCTGGGTATGTACAACATAATCACAAAGGTCCTTAAATGGGAGACAAAGAGGGTCAGAATGACATGGTGCAAAAAAAATCTGACCCGCTGTTACTGGCTTTAAAAGTGGAGGGAGGCCAGAAGCCAAGCAATGCAGGAAGCCTCCCCAAGCTGGAACACATAGAACAGCTGAGTCCTCCCTGAGGCCGCCCCCCAAAATCTCAGCCCCACCGTCACCTTGACTGTGTATAACCCAGTGAGATCCACTCGGAGCACTCGCCTCCAGAGCCAGAAGACAATGCATGCCTGTTGTTTCAGCCACTACACTAAGTACTCATTTGTTACAGCAGCAATAGAAAACGAATACAGATCTACAAGAAATGGTTGGTAGCGATTAGATTCAGGAAGTGGGCTCAACAGCCTGGAAGCAGGGGCTCTGAACTGGAAGAACTCATTTTTTCATGTGTGTGGTGGATTGACAACTGGCGCCCAACTTATAACCCCCAGCTGAACCGAGTTAGTGTGGTGCTGGGTGTGGAAGACCCACCTGAGGACTG